AGATGGGAATGGTTGGTCACAGAGAATCATTGCATTCAATTAATCTCTATGGCAGAATCTTAGGTCCCCAATATTTACCTATGTTGGGCACTGGATTGGTCTACATCCATGAGGCACACCTCCTGGACGCAACCTGAGAAGGAGGATGTTGCGACAGTGCTGAGAGAGGCTAGACACTGGAGAAAAGGTAAGTGTTACGGTTGCCTCCAGGCTGGCTGGAAGTTGGACCGTAGAAAGGATGCTCCTAGCGCTCACCAAAGGACCATCAGCACCGTAGACACCATAACTACTGCGTATACATCATAAGTACTGCAGACTCCACGAACCGTCGCTGCTGGGCTAGGATCTCACCGGCTGCTATCCACCCTGGAACTACGACCAGGCTCCAGGTTCCAGTAGGTGAACCTCTTCCTTCTGTAGAGCGAAGCAGGATCAGGAACAAGAGCTCTTACAAGAGCTCAGTAGCTAAGGGAGTATGAAGAGCATAGCAATCTCTGTAGTGATTATAGCTGTCCCCTACAAACATGAGTCAAGGCTGCAAGTTAGAGGGTCAAGTCATTCTGTTTATTGACACCAAAAGAACCTTCTTTTATGCAGGTTTCCCTTAGATAGGACCATCCACAGGGTTTTACAAAACAACCAATCATTCACGTATATTACAGAAACACTCCCAGCAATTACATACAAAAATCCTCCCCTCTGCCTGTGATATAATTATGTTACACAATGGTTTAACATAATTAACACAGGCAGTAAAAATACAATTTTTATACATATCCTGTAACTTTAAAACCACACATCCAATCTCCGTATGACATATTTAGAATCAGCAACCTTCAAATATATACATAACCAAAAATCAGCCAAATGCATCCCGGGGTTAAAAAGTTAGCTGGAGGTCCCTTTATGACCGACCGCAAGCACATTTTCCTGCCCAAAACAGTTCCATAGATTTGGGCTGTGCGGTCGGTCTATTTCAGGCTGAAAAAAACGTCCCATCGTCTCTGCAGCTGCAAAATCATTGTGAGAGAAGGTAGGGTTCAGCGGTGTTCATGGAAATGTGTAGCCGATTTTAGTTCCATGAATTTGGCTACACATACCGCTGACCTCGTGTGAATGAACAAAGATGGCCGCTGCCACGTGTTCAGCAAACGAACGAAGGCCATCCAGCATTGTCAATTAAGCTGCGGTTAACCGCAGCTTCTGGGAGGTAAATTGCTGACACACTCCCAATACAGGTGGTCTGCCTGTGTGGTACTTGGTTCAGTAAGCCCCATTTACTGAACCAAGTGGGAAATAGCTAGGAACAAAGGGTTTTAACCAGGTCTGGGGACACTGGGGACACCGTCTTAAAGGGGCAGTGTCCCAAACAAGTCTGAGGACACCGTCTTAAAGGGGTAGTGTCCCGATCTTCCCGATGCCCCAAAAAGGGCACCAATCCCATAAAGAGTCCATAAGCCCCAATATGCCCACCGACTGTCTTGAAGGGTCATACACACCCAATAAAAGTCCATAAGTTTTCACAATCTCCCAGGGGCCATAGTCATGTGGAAGGAGGCTGGCAAATAGGCTTCTCTACAACCCAGGGAAGCAGGGCAATTTGCCATTTAAAGGGCCAGTTACAAATAGCAGTTTGTAACAGTAAGTAATTCTTTGTAATTTTATTTAGTTCTTTTCTCTTTTTTACAGGGTGGGGGACCTAAATGACAAGGAGCATCAGGGCTGAAGCATTAGAAACAAAGATATGTATTCCTAACGTTACAATGTTCCTTTAATCAATATCTTTAGATAGACACCCAAATCCAATAGAGTAAAAATAAAACTAACGCTTCAAGCTTTTCTTCAAGTCTCGTTGTGCAAAAGACATTACAACATATAGCAGATGTGCAATGCAAATCTGTAATTTTAAAAGATGATAAACCTTTTATTTAGAACTACAGTTTGTTATGACTGTGTGTTGAATATAAATTGGCACAGCTGAATAATTATTTTGATTTACTATAGAAACTTATGGGTTTCATATTAATTTTTATTATTTTACAGAATAAGATTTAGGTTTACATGGCTTTAAGCAGTATTTTTTCTCTACTGAATGGAAAAGAAAGACATACAACCATTTTATTATGTGAGATGCATGATTAGAAATTGTAATGAAGTGTGGTGTTGTGGAAGAGCTAAAAATGATTAGTCATTTGAAAGGGTGTCTAGAACATGCAATTATCCTTACATTATCCACCAAAAACAAGTGCTTAAAACTTACTATGTCACTTACACGGTAGTATTAGAAAGCATGGGCAATTAAATGAAGCCGTCTGTAAGGCATGGTTTGGTGTGTGGGTGCAACCAGACTGCTCCAGACAGGAGAAAGTGATGACAGAGCTCTTTCCACTTCATCCAGTTAAATCAGGTACTTAAATAGTTAACATAACCAATTTAACCCCTTAAGGGTCAATATTATGGAATAAAAGGGAATCATGACATGTCACACATGTCATGTGTCCTTAGAGGGTTAAAGTATAGCTTTTCCTTGCTTCCAAATTATACAGAGTCAAATAAAGTAGAAACATGCTAAAAAAAAGAGTAAAAGGTGGATAAGTTACTGCAGTGCCTAGGGAAAAGTCATAGCCTACAACCCAAGGAGCCAGGGCCAGACTGGCCCACTGGGATTCTGGGAAATTTCACAGCATACTGCAGCACTTGGGGCAGGCCTAATGTAATTTAAATATTTTTTCCCTTCGGACTGTGAGAGTTCTGGGTGCTGGTGGGGCCACATTAAGACTGCCTATGGCCAGAGAAAGCACTCTAAGGAGGGAGCTATTCTGTTCCTCTTCTGTTTCACCCACAAATAAGCTCAGGCCCCACACTCAAACTTCACCTCTGCACTCAAACCTGCCTCAGCCTCAAGCAGCTGACCTTGCCAGGAAGAGGCCAGAAAATGGTGACTTTACAACCCAGTGATCTCACAGCCTTCAGTGCCAGGTGGGCTTGAAATACTCAGTAGACTATGATTGAGAGTAATTTTGTAACCCCATGTAGCAAAAGCGCAGCTTAGGGGAAAGGGGCCTTAACAGGGCTAGGAGGCAGGCATAGGAGGAAGCATGTAGGGATTGGTGGTTTTGGAGCTAGGGGTTGGGATATATAAATAGGCGGCAATCTTAGAAAATTCACTTTTAACTTGCCTGCCTGGCTGAGTTTGTGTGCACCTTGTTTGTTCACTTCTTTTGGCCTGGTAGGTGTCTCTTTTTGTCTTTGCTGCAGGATGGACGAGGTGGAGAGGATGCTGGAGGGGATCAAGACGGCAGCAAGGGATCAAGGGGCTGAGTGCAGACGGGCCCAGCTAACTTCTGTGCCATTCGGAGAGGGCTTGGAGTCCTTCGTGTCATCTGAGCCCTGACACGGAATTGGGGGTGGCCGGGACAGGCTGTGACCGGGGCGGCAGGCGCCGGGGCCGGGCGGTCGAGGCCCTGCCTTCCCCTGCGACAAGGAGCCTCGGAGGGTGGTAGTGCGGCGGGAGACCACCCACACGGCTTGCAGCGTGGCCCATGTGCTGCATGGGGGCAGCGCTTGGTGGCAGGGCCGACATAGTCGGCGGTATGGCCTCCGGTCTGGAGCAGGCGTGGGGGCCTGTCCCCTACAAAGTGGCGGGGACAGGCTGTGACCAGTACAGCAGGCACCAGCGGGGTCTTTGGGTGGCCACCTTTTACATTGGACCCCCAGGGACCGGGGGGGTGCTGCTGGGACAGTGGAGGGTACCCCCCAGGTGCTACCAGTGTGGGGGTCCAACTTCCCGTTGGGTCATGAGGTATGTCAGCCTCCCGCACGGGGGCTTATGCCTGGGGTAGGAGGGGAGCAGCTGTGAGAGTTTAGCTAGGCTGGGCACAGGGGGCTGGGGGCCCCTTTGGTGCAGCGGGTGAGGATACTGGGCAGCATTCTACATAGGACACGAGGTCATGCGTTTAGACTGGAAGAAAGAAGATTTTGTCTAAAGCAAAGGAAAGGTTTTTGTACTGTAAGATTAATAAGGATGTGGAATTCTCTGCCTGAAGAAGTGGTTTTATCAGAGTCCATACAGATGTTCAAACAGCAACTAGATGCATACTTGCAAAAACAGAATAGTCAAGGATATCATTTTTCAATGTAGGGTAATAGCTGCATGATCCAATAATAAATCTGACTGCCATTCTGGGGTCAAGAAGGATTTTTTTCCTAGTTTGTTGCAAAATTGGAAGTGCTTAAAACTGGATTTCTTTGCCTTCTTTTGGATCAACAGCAAAAAACAAATGTGAGGAAGGCTGAACTTGATGGACGCAAGTCTCTTTTCAGCTATGTAACTATATTTTTATATAGAGAGTTCAGTGATAATCTTAAATATTACTTTATAACATTTAAAATATAGCTATGTCTTGACACACACACACACACACTACTGTGGCACAAAGACTTATAGAGCTTGCATACATTTTTTTTTCCCAATCCAGCAGTGCAAAAAGCCTGCATTATCCCCTGCGCCATACCTATTTGGTTTTATTGTACTCTTAAAAAAAATGCTTCTGTGTATTGTATATGGCTGAAGTCTGAGTTATGCTACCTGTGCAGCCATACAGGTAGACAAGCCAAGATGGAGCAGCTCAGTTCTTAGGTGATCTAGTGACTGAAGGGATAATTCAGCGCTTTAGGAACTAGAAAAAAAACTAAACATAAGCAGGCATGCACCTGCTTATCTCTAAGCAATAATTAAGAGGTCCATGTATGGATTACCTTTCAAATGTAGGGAAATATGCACTGTAGAATGTGAACTCACTCAGAGATCATTTACTAAACAGGGAATTGTTGGGAATTGATCAAGGGATTTCAAAGTTCAGGCCAAAATGTCAAAAAACAAATTCCAGTTTCCTCTATTTTGACTCTATACATAATCAGTTACCCATAGTTCCTCATTTAGTTTAATAATGAATGTTTCATCCATTACAGAAAGTACTCATACTATTTTATATTATTATTACCGTATATACTCGTGTATAAGTCGATCTCATGTATAAGTCGAGTGCAGTTTTGTGACCAACAATTGTGAAATATGCTATGCCTCGTGGATAAGTCGAGGGTAAAACTTGGGGCTATGAAATTCTGTGATTTTTATAATTATATACACACACACTCATACAAAAACACTCTGCATTATATATACACACACTCATACAAACAATCTGCATTATATACACACACACTCATACAAACACACTCTGCATTATATACACACACACACTCAAACACACACTGCATTATATACACACACTCTGTGTATATAATGCAGAGTGTGTGTTTGTGTAGTGTGTGTAAACTAGGTGGGGGGAGGGCATTTTTATTATTTTAATTTTTTTTATTTTAATATTATTCTTTTTTAATTATTTTAATTTTTTTTTGTCCCCCCTCCCTGCTTGTTAACTGGTCAGGGAGGGGGGCTATCTTAATCCCTGGTGGTCCAGTGGCATGGGCTGTGAAGTGGGGGGGCCGGCAGGAAGCATTTACTTACCTTTCCTGCAGCTCCTGTCAGCTCCCTTCTCCTCCGTTCCGGTCAGCTCCACTGTAAGTCTCGCGGTGTGGTTGCCGCGCGGATCGTTACCATGGCTCTGACGGCCGCGGCTCTCTAAGTTGCCATAATACAGACAGGGACTCGAGTATAAGTCGAGTGGGGGTTTTTAAGCACAAAAAATGTGCTGAAAAACTAGACTTATACTTGAGTATATACTGTATATTGGATTAATTACACCCATAGAGTTCAGTGCATCACCAGGCATGTACTACCTAATGTATGACATACATCAACTCTAGAATATTGAAATAATAGTATAAAAAAGTTTCCTAAAGGACTAACTATGAGTGCACAGAAATGTAATGCAGTCTGGATGCATTATATTACATTTTGTGATATCAATAATTGTCAAAAATGCTTTCACGTTCAGATATTTGAAAAACAGTATTCTTTGTTTTAAAAAAAAGCAAAATACAAAAGAGGCATAAAAATGTCTTTATAAATACTAAGTTAATTCTGTGTCCGTCACATATAAAGCACAAGTATTTTACATTTTATGATGATAGATTTGAAAGAAAATTCGAACTTTTAACATTGTCAGAGATTAGCAGTACATCACTGGTTCAATGCTTTGAACACATAAGACAGGTTTGTTTCAGAGCATTAAATAAGGTCATCCATTACAATTCATGTAATCAAACGTAGTGATCCTTGGTAGCTTGATTCTGGCCCACCAACCATTATTTTTCTTCAGATAAGAATCTTGGAGCCTGTCAGTGCTAAGCCCCAAGTAAAAACAGCAGAAGTGCTACCATTAAGCTGACTGAATTCCACCTTCAAGAACACAGAGATTTTTTCACAGTTGTAATTGTATCCGTGCTCTTGTTTGAAGTCACAGGACAATTTTCTTTTCTATGTTTTTCTCTGCTTGGTTGGTAGGTATATAAACGTTCACATAATATCTTATTTCAAAAAAATAAAATGGAAGTACATAGATTTAAAAAGAATGCAAAAAACAACCTTCAATAATACAATTATTAAAATATGCATTTTTATGTCAGTCGGCACACTGATGTACAAAAAAACCCAATACATAGTTGAATTCCGTACTAAATAAAATAATACTCAGATTTGTTGTTTACATATACCTATATCTTAGATAAAAAAATGCCAATGGCTTTTGTTTTCAAATAGTTTTTATTGAAAGATTAAAATTTTTTATAATAACATGAACAATCAATATGGAACAAGTTAAATATTGATACAACAAACAAACCGGGGTAAATGTAATATTTAAAATCTGCAAAATCCTCTGGAACCAGCATTCTTTCCATTTACAGCTAAAGGTTTTTTTTGCCACTCCATAATTGGCAAGTAAAAACTTGGAGCTAGTAACATATGGGCTCCAAATCAAAGTGAGCAGTAACCTGTGGACATTTTACTATAACTAGTGATTGTTCAAACATCTTGCACTATTTTACTTGAACTTGATGTCTCCTGTTGTATATATTTATTCTACTGGAGTTCACAAAGGGTCACAAGAAAGAAGGTCTGTGTTTCTACCTAAAGGCACAGAAAGCCAGCACGTTCAGACCCATAACGTCAAATGGCTCTTTAATTGTGAGCATTCCCTTTTTAAATCAAATTCTTCATTTATCTGATTGTAACAATATCACACTATTATATTTTACTCTGTCTTTTCCCAGCATGTGTATGAAACCATTTTATAATGCATGGGTGTCATACCTCGTGTCCCGCGCTGTCCCTGTCCTGCCATCCTTCCTCTCCTGCCGGGCGGTGCGGATCCCTGGCTGGCGTCATGCGCGTGCGCCTCCAGGGACGCGCGCGTCTGGGAGGGCGTCCAAGGACGTGCGCACGCGTTAGCCGACAGGGGTGACGTGACCTTAGCATTTAAAGTGATAGTAGCCTATTGCTACTATCTATTTATATCCTGCCTCATTTCTGTCCCTGCCTATCAGAATAAACCCTGCCCTATATTAACCTCCTTCTCACATCACTTCCTTGCCCAGTTGTGGTTTATTATATCCCGAGAGTGCGTTCTGATTAGTTGTCTTTCTTTGGTTTCCGACTTCGGCTTGTTATTTGGTTATTCTCGTTTCTGGCTCCCTGAACTTTTGGCTCTGTCTATTCGCTTACCCGTACCTCTATATCCCTGACCTTGGCGTGTCTGACTATTCTTATCTCTTATTCCTACGTTAAGTCCGGCCACTTTAAGGTCCGGTAATACGTCTGCCTGTGCTTGCCTTTATTGTTCTCTGGTTTGAGTGTTGGGGAGTATTAACCTTGACAATGGCTAAGCTCTGAATTTTGTTAGCACTGCACTTTATGTCACTTAATATCACCTAAACCCTGTCTAAACACGTTGTGTTTTTTGTTTACTGTTTGATTTCTGGGTCAATAGGAGAACCCATAGAGTGCTACAGCTGCTATTACTAATACAATTTATTCATATTATCATTAAGCACCCGAGTTCCACACATACAAAACATCAGCCTTTGTCTAAATGTAATAGATAATTATCCGGTAATAGTAAACTATTAATAAATCAATAATAGGATATTATGGTACAAATAATCACCATATATATATATATATATATATACACACACAACATTTTGGTCAGGTGGGGTCAAGAATGTAAGTTATACCTCTGTCTGATGTCTTTTTCTCTGATATCCCATTCGTGTTTAAGAAGGTCAAGAGTATTGAATGGTAATCTGAGCACAATTTCACATCTCATACTTTCAAACAATTGATTAATAACTTATTTAATATCCGGAACTACAGGTGACTTCCAGTGACGTGGAAGAGCCATAGAGGAGATGAGAATATGGCCTAAAATTATGCATATGTGCTTAGGTTAATTATCGGGAATCTTTTTGAACAAACATAATTCAGGTGTTAGTGGGATTATGGAGTTGTCAATAAGTCTAATTAAACTAAGAATGTTATCCCAGTAAGACTTTAGTTTAGGGCATATCCACAGCGTGTGGCACAGGAAACCCACCTAACCATACTCCCTCCAACACTTAGAAAGCTACAAGAGTTCATTTTGGATAAGGGAAAGAAGGGGGATAAAAGGGAAACATGGGGGGGGGAAGAATTATATATAATTCAAAAAAATCTCAAAAAGTTACAAACTGAATGAACATATGTGCAATGTTATTCAAATTGTACATAAATCTATATATCAAACACATATGTCTTAAAATTAAAACATAAAAAAATGGCTATATGGAGCCACCTGTGTATATAACATTGCACATAAATATATTGTAAAAAATAGATAATACATAATTAACAAAAAAGACATACATATAGTGAGTGAGAACACTAAACAAATTGAATATAACAGAAGAAAGATTTGCAAAGAGAAAAAATATACAAATACATAATTGTGGGGGAGAAAATGATGCATTTTTTTATTGTGTTTATGTCAAGGGGTGGCAGCACTGTAACATTGCTGTGTGATACAAAAGGTAAATACCAATACCCAAAAGTGTATACAAAAGTGGGAGTTTGAGCACAGGACTTCTTTGTGTATTTGTATTTACCTTTTGTATCACACAGCCATGTTATAGTGCTGCCACTTACCCCATGTGTTCCCTATTAAGGGTTAATAAGTATGTAGGGATTAAGAAAAATACTTCTCTTTGTCTCATTAGAGATTTTCCTTTGCCTTAAGCTGAAGCAAGCAAGGTGAATTGCTACTGTAGGACAGTACAGTATATAATTTTAATGTTTTATTTATAATTGTGCTAGAGTTTAACCACTGCAGTTCATACAGATAACCGCAGTATAGGCACATTTGCATATTACAAGGCTAACTCCCACAATGCTATAGCAGCTAAGGATCTACCATTTGTCCATCCTTGCAGGCATAGGCGTGCGCACGGGGTATTGAGACTGGCAGGGGAGATCTCAGGATATCGCTATCCGAGCCCCGGCTCTGCTCTCAGCCTCCCTCCCCACCAACCCACAGGCAGGGAGGGAGGCAGGAGAGGACCGGCGGAGCTCTTGCCAGTAGCTCCGCCGGGTTCCTCTCGCGGGATTCTGAGCGTTACCGTGGCAACGCTCAGATCTCACGAGAGTGAACTCTAGCTCCACAGGCTAGAGTTCACTCTCCACTGGTCCACCAGGGATGGAAGCAGCAGGAACAAGGATCCCCCCTCCCAGGCATAAGATAGGAAGGGAGGGGGGATATTTACTAAACGGCCCCCACACAATACACACAATCACCCAAACATACAGCACTCACATACAGCACCCCCCACACATAGCATCTACACACATACAGCACACATACAGCACACACACCCTTACACACACACACACTAACAGCACCCTCACACACACACAGCACCCTTACACACACAGCACCCTCACCCATGCACACACACAGCACCCTTACACACACACACTAACAGCACCTTCAAACACATAGCACCCTTACACACACAGCACCATCACACATACACACTAACAGCACCCTCACACACACACAGCGCCGTTACACACAGCGCCCTTACACACACACACACACACAGCAGTATATGTGTGTGTGTATATATACACATATATATATATACACACAGCGTGTGTGTTTGTGCTTTAGGGTGCACACCCTTATACAATAGGCTGAGCATGCCTATGCTTGCAGGGTTGTATTTAGGACCGGACTAGGAAGAAAATTCAGTCCTGGCAGTTAATGGCAGAGCAGCCCACTGTGAGGGAACGCTGTCTGAGCTGATGATCTACCTGCTTCCTCGGGCACCCTCTGTGGAGATGCCGGGAGTCGGATTATGACGTAATTCCAGCCCCGCATCACTAAGCAGCATGAGGGAGGAGAAAGGAGAAGTGAGAGCATCGAAGACACTGGACCCCAGGGAGAGGGCTCAAAGGACTCCTAAAGGTAGGACAAACAAACAATACAATGAATTTATGAGTTTATGCAAGACTGTGTAAGTGTGTATGTGTCTGAAAGTAAGTGTGTGTGTGTGTGTGTGTGTGTGTCAATAAGGGTGTCTATCAGTAAGTGTGTGTGTCTGTCTGTCAGTGTGTGTGTGTCTGTCTATACAAATAAAGTAAGGAGCACGACCATAAATGTCTATATACAAAAAAAAAATCTTTATTCAATGGGTACACTCTATTGGAATATTTCATTACATAACAATCCAAGATATTGGGTCATCTCACACTATAAAGCAACGACCAGAACAATTCTGGATATATGTATATAAACGCCATATGCGTAATCTATGAATAGCAAAATGTCAGTATATAGAATAGAAAAATGAGATACCAATATAATCCAACCCCACAAACATAAATACATGTAAAAAAAATATATACAACAAGCATACCAGACCTGGTGAGAAGCAGGGACAGAGTCTGGTATGCTTGTTGTATTTTTTTTTACATGTATTTATGTTTGTGGGGTTGGATTATATTGGTATCTCATTTTTCATACAGCTTATACTGTGACCGTATCTCCTAAACACTGCGACTGTATCACAATAACAATAAGATCGAGTTTTATAGTTTGGTGAGGGAGTCTGTTTAAAGCATTAGACACTAAGTGCATTATTTGTTTTTTAGATCTGGTGTCCCAGTTCGGGATGGAGCAAATCGCTCTGTTTAACAAGAGGATCTTTGTGTATCATCACCGACTGGCAGCTCTTCCGAAATCCACCAGGTTCTTAAAACGTAAGCCTCTGTTGCATTTATACCCAATTCTGAGACTTCTAATGACCCCTAAAGCAATTAATCTTTTGAGTACATTTTATTTATTTTGCATATTGTGCTAAGATCTCAGGCAGTCACTGTTCCACTTGTAGTCCAGGTGCCATGGAGGGCAGGTGAAGGTAGTTTTTACTTCACTTAAAATGTCCTTTGCATGCAGCTTTCACAAGGTCCTCTTCAGCTCCTGGCATTTCATTTGCCAGGAGCCAACGGAAGCAATCTACTCACGTGCATGCATAAGTGTACCTTAGGTAGCTCTGCCTTTTGTCAAGAGTAGGAAAAATGCTTAATATAAAAGTTGTTCCGATTTTGTCTTATTTTGTGGGGGTCATGGAAACGCTGTAAGTCTAAATTTAAAGTGCTCCATCATTCTTTCTATTCTACGCCTCCAATCCTCAACATGGTAATTGTATTTTCAAATATAAAATATAGAGATAATTGTTTGTGTAATTTGCTTTCCGGTTACGATTTGGTGAGTTTGAACTATGTTTGATTTTTACAGCTCCAGAGGAAAGCAGCAAACCGCTTTGAGGATTCACTGCATAAGAGACTATTGGATACTGAAGGACTGTTCTGTAAAGGAAGATCACAGCTTCATCCAAGCCTTAGTCACAAGGATTCTTAAGAGTAGAGAGCGGCTAACAATATCCGATGTTGGCCACATGTGCAAAAATGATGTATCTAATAAATGGCCAACGTACTTTTTCACTTTGTTTAATTTGAAATTATTGCTAGACTTCTTTATACTGCCACTCTTAAAAAGATTAAAACAATTAATTTTGAAATATACATTAATTTGTCTGTGCCGTTAAATATGTATCTGTAATTAACGTTGACCTGTTAATTATTGTGGGACAATGGAGAGCAACACAAAACTAAGACTCTACCAAACAATCCATGACAGTTAGGAAATATGGCTTTGTAACAGCATATGCTAATTTATGGTGCATAAGGGTCCTCTTGTCACTGTGCCTATGCATTGTTTTGCTTATAACTGATGACTTAGAAAATATAGCAATGAGCAGAGAAAAAAGCGTTTTTTTTTTTTTTTAAAGGGACACTTATAGGCACCAAGAGCACTTCATCTTGTTTGGGTGATGTTCCCAAGTCCACTTAACCCTGCAATGTGAAATATTGCCTATTCTGTGAAACTGCAAACATTTTCTTGCAAGATTAACTCCTCCTCTATTGCCTGTCTATCAGACAGCCACTAGAGGCGCTTCAGGGTTCTTAAAAGATAACTATGTGAAATAACACTGGACATCCTTACGCTTTGCATAGGACAACCAGGCTATTTAAAAACCCTACAGAAACGGATTGAGTAAATGCTTTCCAATGGGGAAGCCTAAATGCGTGCACTGGAAGGACCTGATGTTGGCGGAGGCTGAACGAGCAATCAGGTAACTGACAATAAGGGTGCAGAGTAAAATATAGTGTTAGCAATACAGTTTGATATTTCCAGCACTATAGTTTTCCATTAAAGCAGAGTCTTTACCCTGTTATAAATTTATATAGTATCCACCAAAAAAAATCTATAGCGACAAAAAGGAACTCCAATCTGTGTTCAACAAGAGAAACTGAAGTTTGTTTCTTTTTGACTCTGAAATCCACCATCTCATATGGCCATTTCATCACCCCCGCTATAGAATTGCACTGATGTCACAGAATGGGACACAGCAAGTGCTTTTTTTTTTTTTTTTGAAAGAATCTGCATGTCAAGGTTTCTGCAATATACTTTAGTTCTTCTACATTAATGTGGAGCTTAAAGTTTTCATCTATATTAAAAAAATAAAAAAAAATAAAAAAAATAAAATAAAAAGGGTAACAGAAAAACCTGCCTTGCAAAGACAGACTGTGGTAACCACAGAACACGGAGAAAGTTTAAGCACCTGTAAAATAAAAGATGTATGGCATGAGGGAAGCAATATTGGTATAATGTCATGATCTCTCTCGTGGTGGCCCACCATTTATAATCACAGGAAAATGAAGGTTACGTCATATCTGCAGCATGTGTTATGAAACAGCCAAGTGTAGAGGAAGTTTTCTGTTTCAGCAGGTTGAGGTTCATCATGGTGGCCTCTCTGGCACTGGAACCAAACATTGTACCCTTCATCTCCCTCAAGACTGTGCTCAGAGTTGTCAAACAAGAAAAAAAAAAACACAATAATTGTTAATGTGAATAACTAGCCACAAGAGTTTGTAGCAAGTACAAAAGTATACAGTATACTAACCTTATTGCATTTGTTTGGATCTATTGATTGTGGGGCTACATCCTGAAGGGACTCATACAGCATCTACAAAAATAATTGGAAAAAAAATGTGCATTATATTATGGTGCAGCATGTTAAAATGTAAGCAAATATGTATTTTCTGAGTGAATTAATAATAAAACACGTTTCCGGCACAATGATTTAATATGTGGGGATTTTAAGTCTGAACACAATTTTCCAAGACAAAGCTTTCATGCATTGTGTGATAGAGCTGACCTTTATACTGGAGTAAGGCACAAGCTATTTCCAGTCGTGCATCCCTTATATATTCCGGAGAGGTCGTCACTTCACTGATTGTTCTTGTCTGTAGGAACTCCTTGGCAAACTGTAAAATAATAATTCATATTTGTAACGGCAGTTCGCATTTGTTATTAGTGGCTTTTACTATGTTAGAAAACGTATTACCATCAAGATTAAAACTCCACAGCTACTGGAATCCTGCTGGTTGTTGTGGTAAATTATCCAAGTTTTCCATTGATCTGGCTGTTCATCCGGCTTGTACATCCGCAAGAAGATACTATGAAAAAAGTAACAGATTTAAAAGTAAAAAAAATAGGAATCAGTTGTTTATTAAAGCTTATGTGAAGATAAAATGGTTTTCAGAGGCACCCTTACTGCAAGTTGTGTTGCACTTTTGAAACATAGCGGTTTTCATTTGCCATTGGATCCATTAGCACAACGACATTCTTGGACATGATGACAAACTAAAAAAATATATTGTTTGTATATATAAGTTTGTTGATTACATTAATATTTGAAATATACCAGGTGGGCCAAAAAGTAAATATACAGTGTGATCAATGAACGTCACAACAGTAGAAATTGTCATTTAAATATCAGTGTGGCATTTGGAAAAAGAATAGTGAAGGGCAGATCCAAAAAGTTTATTTTGAAGCAGTTTCATTATACTGTATAATATCACACACTAATGCCAAGCAAATCTATACACACCAGTGGAGAACACACTGTGATAGGGAAAAACAATTACACTTAAAGTAGATATATCCAAGACTCCTCTCAGTCGTCAAATAATATAAAAAACACACCAATATCTACAAAAAAAAAGATATAATAATGCAATTCTGTATGTAATGGTTAACAATAATTGAGTATAGTATTGCAGTCACAAACACATATTGATAGAAGGCTCAAAACACATAAGTTAAGGTGATCTCCGGTCTTCTCATTCCGATATCCCAATAAAATTAATGTGGAGAGAGGGAAAAAAGATACATAGAGTAGATCCTTATGGTAAAGAGATAACATTTATTCGAAAACTTACAATCCGTTTAAAAAATACAGGCATATCAACAACTCTGTTGAAGAATCCACCGGGGTCATATGGACTTCATCAGGGACAATGCAAAACAATCAGTTATATAATCGTTAACCATTACATACAGTATTGCACTATTATATATTATTCTACTGTATACCTACTTTTTGCCAACACTATATAGAGCAAAAGAGCATTGTGGTGTCATAGGATTGTAGTTAAATATATTTACATAGAATATACATATAATAATAGTGCATGGCAACATGAGTAAAGAAAGGGAAATTAAATTATTTTAATAAATTCCAATAAGATCCAGTGAGCTCCAACTTTTACAGGACAAAGATCTTCGACTGGAAACTTCATGTGAAGAAAAGGTAGAAAGCCAAATCGGTAATTATAAATAGATATATTTACTATATAAAAATGTAATTCTAACAAGTCACTAACCTTTCCAAGATTTTCTATTGCACCATAAAATACAGATGACAGTACAGAATCAAACTGTCGAACAAGTTCCTGTTTCAATAGACGGAAAATTATAATGCAAAATAATAACGCAGCTAACATAACCCACAAATAAACATAATTCACACTTGCCTGATGCTTCACAATCAGATGATGAATGTATGCATCAATCACCTGCATAAAAATAAAAATCAATTATTAAATATATATATATTTTTATATTTTAGCTTTAGACAAATTAATAACACTTTATTTTCTTACCTCATCAACCAGCCACTTATTGCCATGCAATGTACGGAACGAAGAAACATACAGCTTGTATGGTCCCACAACTGCTTCCACAGATCCGTCATCTTCAGCTTCCCACAGGATTTTAACTATTAAAAAAAGATATATGTACAGCAAGAAATTTAAACAAAGCTAATACAGTTTGAGTATGCCTTATCTTAAAATTAAGTATTGAAAAATAATTATTAACAAATAAAGCAGTATCCCAATATAACATCCAATCTGCTAGAAAAATCATATGCTAAGCTTTCTAAATTCAATTATGTTAAGAGGCAATTCTGACAAGGGGATAACTCAACCTGTATAGGTTTTTTAGTATATCAAACATGTATGGTTAATAACGAGAGCTGGATCGAACACGATGCCAAACAGTGGCAACTTTACCAAAAAATAAATAAAAAGGTGCCAGAACGGCAACAGAGTGAAAGACTAGACCAACAGGGCATGGCCAAACTAAAAAAAAAAAATAAGAACCAAGTAACTGCTACCTCTGTCTTCTATGCTTTGCATGACAATCAAAGATGCAGATGACTTGGGAAAAGAAAATCAAGATTAATGTTATTCACTTACATTTAACATTAATTTAAAATAAAAATACTACATAAAGGAAGAATAGGATGAAGAAAAAGGACAAGGCTCGCTTTATGCACAATAGAGAAATAATAAATTATAGTCGGGTAGTAAATTTGGTGGTACCTCCTTTTCCGGTGCAGCAAAACAGATGACAGAGGTCCTTGGTGCTATGGAGGACACGCAGGTGCAGATTTCCTTAGGCAATTTGACATCACCTTTCTGCCTGTGGGCTTTGTTTTCCTCACTCCTCCTGTATGGCTTGATGTGGTCGATGCTGAACTTTTTCTGAAGAGTAACTCCGCCCGAATTCTCCAATTTCACCACCTTGCCACACAACTCCTTGATAATATAAGGACCAGAGAAGTCTGGCTCTATCCTTCCTCTTTTCCTACCACGCTTCCTCATATTATACAGAAGGACCTCATCACCAACACTGGACACCACATCCTTGTTTTTCTTCAACGCATAAGTCTTCTGCTTCTCCTGTGATTTTTCTATCTTTTCCTTTATTTTCTCCACTGATGCCTTCTTCTCGTTTAGAAAGGTTACATAATTCTTCTCCTCTGGAAAGATTATGTTTGAAAGCTGTGGAAATTTGTAAAATATATTTATATGTTTACACACACCAAAATTTCAAATAAATAGTAACATATAGAATGTTAATTTTGAAAAGATAAAATAAAAAAAAATAAAAAAGTACCTTTAGTTCTACAGTCATACAGCTATTAGCGGAAAACAGAACTGATAATTTTCAAGATTATAAAGTTTATGAATAACGAAATATATTTGGATTAGTCACATGTGCACACTATCTTTAAATATGGTTATGGCAGCAAACTTGATCAGCTAATAATTAACTAACAAATAACTTAAATGTTATAAGAATCTTATGTGCAACTTATGTTGAATAAAGCAAGCAGAATGAGGCGAGATCTGTATATAGTAAACAATGATTACATATACTACACGCACATAGTTAACCGTAGCGGAGACAGAAAAAACTGCAACAACTCAGTGGCAGTTCAACAGGAACTTCGGCTGGGAAAACTGCCTCCCTCCGATACATCAAAAGAAAAAGGTGAATATTTGGTAGTGATTTGGACCCTCGACCTTATGGAAAACAATGTTGCGTCCAAATACACGTCCCAGTTATTTTCATTCACCAATTTAGGGAGAGCTCTACAATGAATAAAATAAAACGACAAGATAAAACATATTTACAACCCTCTTGCAATTAATGTGGACTTTTTAGTTATCAGCATACAACAATACAAACAAGTGTGCTGAAAAAAACAACACAAGGAGATGCAGATTTGCGCAGTGCAGCCTATGTGTAATCAGTGCAGCTTTTTGCAGCTCATGTGCAATAGCTTCTCAATGCTTTCATATAAGAAACAGTGTGAGTGGGTTCATAAATACCTTCACTGGTGGTACTGTGGGCACCCCTTCTCCTCAGTAGTCAGGCTCTTGTCTGCATCTCTGCCGGGAGTGAGCTGCATACCACGTGGTAAATTTTGCGATCTCCAGTCAGAGAGTTTGCTTGGTAACCAGCGGCAACATTCTGACAGGCGGGAGATTGCGAGACACTTCAGTCTGTGGCTCACTCCTGGCAAAGCTGCAGACAGGAGGATGGCTCTCTCCTAGGCAGACTGACTGGAGGGGCCTTGCTCCAATGCAGTATAATGGGCAAGCCGCTGGGCCCCCTCCTGTGTCTGTTCCTTGGTTTCTGACCTAGGATCCGACATGGTAGTCTGCCTTAAGGCGACACTAAAATCTCCTAATTAGAGAGCCGCCTCTGCCTGGACGGGTCTACCTGTTAGGAGACACAAACAGTTTGGAAAAGGTGAATAAAAGCATTTAAAAGTAATCAGAAGAGGCATGAAATTTAAAGTGTTTCTTTAACACTATAGTGTGAGGAAGACATGTTTGTATTGCTGACAATATAGTGTGTCTTTAAAGTGACACTCCAGGCAGCCAGACCACTCCTGCCCATTGGATTGGTCTGGATGTCAACTCCCACTACCCTTAACCCTACAAGAGTAAGTAGTGCAGTTTTTCCATAAACTGCACTAATTACATAGCAGGGTTAAGTCCTCCTCCAGTAGATATTTACCTATGAGACAGCCACTGGAGGAGCTTCCGGCTTCTTAAAACACTTTGTGTTTTAAGAGACGTTGGACGTCCTCACGCAATGAATAAGGACCTCCAGCGTTGCCGGAATCCCCATAGGAAAGCATTGGAAAATGCTTTCCTATGGGTAGTTGTAATGTGTGCGCGGCCGTTGGCTGACGTCGGCGGGGGAGGAGAGTGGGCAGAGCCAAAACCAGCACCGAAGGACATCGGTGCTGGATAAAGGCAAGTCACTCAAGGGGTTTTAACCTCTTCAGCAACCTGGGATGGGGGTGGGAGGGAGGGACCTAAGGAGTCTGTAGTGCCAGGAAAATGGATTTGTTTTCCTGGCACTGGAGATTCCCTTTAAGTAAACCTGTGAGGCAAAGTTCTACTAAAAGCAGAAATAAAATCAAAACTTGAATTAAACTTGCCTTTAGATGTGATGATTAGTCTTTTCATCCAGGCCATTGGTCTGTGGGTGATATGCCGCTGTCACGCTTCTTTCTATTCCAAGAAGACTGCACATGTGGTCGTTGAGCTTGAAAGAAGAAAAAAAAAAAAAGTAGGAACATATAATTTTTTAGAAACCAACATATTACAAAATAAATATTATTAACAACAATGTTAAATTGAAAGTACACATACTTGATTGACGAATTCTTTACCCTGGTCTGAAAGTATACGCTTGGGACAACCATGTCGATAGACCATGGAGCAAATATGGCGTCCCACCTCAGCAGCACATTTTGATTTAAGAGGAAAAGCCTCCACCCACTTTGAAAAGTAATCCGTAGCCGTAAATATGTACTTAAAGGCATCCACTGTCTCTGTGAAGGGACCAGTTAGGTCAATCCCAACAAGCTCCCAGACAGCAGATACCTAATGTGATTAAAAAAATATATTAAATTTTTAAATAAAACAATGTAATAACATTTGTTATGCAGTACTATAGTAGATATTTACCTTAATACATTGTAACGGCTGTGGAGCAGACAATGGCTTTCCAGACTTCTGGCAATTATCACATTCCTGAATCTGTAGGAAATGAGTTGTTAACCTGTTTACAAGCTTTCATTAATATAGCAAAACACAAAGATAATTAATGTGTACCCATTTATCAATATCAGTGGCCATTCCGTGCCAGAAGAATCTCGAGGAGAAGGCCGATCACGTTCTGTTGATGCCTGTATGTCCTCCAATGGGCAATGCATGAAACTCTACGAAGATCCTCCTTGCTTCTTCTTCATTTTTAATAACTCTTCTTCCAACGAAGAGCTCTCCTTGTGTAATGAAATTGAAAAATTAAAGGGTTCGTTTAATTACAAACAACTAAGATTGACTGTATTTTTGACTCACCCTTTATAGTAAATTTGGCAGTGGTCTGCCTGAAAGTCTGCCTCTGTGTCTTAGAATACCCAGGTGGGTATTCTCCAAAACAGAGGAATTTGACGATGTCGTTGTACTTGGTCTCCATTTCTATAAAAATACAACACACATCATAATTTTACAAATTTATATAAAAACTAAACTCACTAAAAACTACCCTAAATGCCATACATAACAACCACTTAACATATGTAACCACAAACTGAAACTAGCCTTTTCACAGTGAAAGGAAAACTGCCCCAACATGCGGTGTAAAATAACACAACATAGTGTAAAGTCCACTAACAATGGACACTACAGTGTAACAGAGTAAATCTACTGCACAGCCTATGAGGATAAAATGTTAAAACGTCTTACAAAGGTAACAACAGTATAGGTATTACTCACCGTCTGGTAGTCTGATAAGACCGGACACTGCTAGACAAGTGAGTGGATCAAATGTCATGCCTGTAAGAGAACGATATATTAATAATTATGCAATATAATTGTATCACCACAATCTTGGAATTACTCACCGTTGCAAAGTCTAATACCACACAATAGGCGAGGTGAGGGACTGAATGAAATGTGAAGCCTGTAAGGAGACAATAAAAGGACAAAATTCTGAACTTATTACAGTCACAACACCATATGGGTACTACTCACTGTCAGGGAGTCTGATGAGACAGGACACTGCTGGGCAAGAGAGTAAATCAAGCCTGGACACAAATTTTTTTTTTAAATAGTTGTGTCATCACGATATTAGTATTACTTACCTTCATGGAGTCTGTACAAAGTCAAGATTCCAATGCAACTGAGATCCCCTTAAGACTTACTGTACATGGTACAGTGTTGTACACTGCATTGTTTAATATTATAAAACAGTAGGTTATGTACAGCAAAATGTGTATACACGGTAAATAAATAACACACAACTGTTTGTATTACACAATGCTATCTAATGCTAGACAACATAAAATAACAGAATAAAAACACCACAAGAAATGGTTTCTTTTTATTCTATGTGCACCCCCTTGTATTTCTTTTTCTAACATAAAATAACAGATTTCCCCCTGTCTCCCTAACTGTGTACATAGTATATTACAGCACGTAATATACTATGTACACAGTTAGGGAGACAGAGTGGAGGCTGTAAGTGGGATTCATTGTTTTTGGCCTGTCTGATGTTTTATGTTGACCAAGATTGATAGAAGGGGTGCCTGGTGCTGTTCCATTCATAGGAATAAATAAATATCAACAGCATCAGCAGGGCCGGCGCGTCCATAAGGCGGCACAGGCGGCCGCCTTAGGGCGCACCGGCCCGGGGGCGCAAATGTCCGGGTGACCGGCAGGAGGGAAGCGCACAGCGCCCCTCTCCTGCCAGTCACTTCTTGTAGCGTGGCCGAGCGCCAACCTGCAGTGCCGCGGACTGTGTGGAGGGGGCGGGGATATGAACGTCATATCCCTGCTCCCTCTGTAGCACACAGTGCGGCTGGTGCCAAGGCAGGGGCGGAGCTACCACCGGCCCCCTTCTAATCAGCATGGGAGGAAGTCCTCCCAAGAAGACTAGAGCAGCAGAAGGCAGAGAGGAGGGGGGCTGGGCAGGACCAGCTCCTCCAACTCCCATCTACCTCAGGCAGCACTCTGGATCCCAGGTAAGCCACCCTCCTGAACCTGTTGGTCTGTGTGTGTATCCATGTCTGTCAGTGTGTGTGTGTGTGTGTATCTATGTCTGTCAGTGTGTGTGTATATATGTCTGTCAGTGTGTGTGTGTATATGTCTGTCAGTGTGTGTGTGTATATGTCTGTCAGTGTGTGTGTGTATCCATGTCTGTCAGTGTGTGTGTATGTATATGTCTCTGTCCGTGTGTCTGTGTGTATCTAAATGTCTGTCAGTATGTGTGTGTATGTCTGTCAGTGTGTGTGTGTGTATGTATATGTCTCTGTCCGTGTGTATGTGTGTATCTGTATGTCTGTCAGTGTGTGTGTGTATCTGTCTGTCAGTGTGTTTGTATATGTGTCAGTGTGTGTATCTATGTCTGTCAGTGTGTGTGTGTATGTAAATGTCTCTGTCCGTGTGTCTGTGTGTATCTAAATGTCTGTCAGTGTGTGTGTCTGTCTGTGTGTCTTTGTGTGTTTGTGTATGTCTATCATTGTGTGTGTGTTTATCTGTATGTCTGTCAGTGTTTGTGTGTATCTGTAGATGTGTGTCTGTCTATCTGAATGTGTATCAGTTTGTGTATATGTATATCTGCATGTGTGTCAGTGTGTGTATCTTTGTGTATGTGTATCACAGTGTGTGCGTGTGTGGCAGTGTATGTGTATATGTGCATATATCTCAGCATTCAAACACCAACACTACACACAAATAAACACCTGCATGCAAACGTCAACACTGCATACAAACACACCCCTGCATTCAAATGTCAACACTACATACAAACACACCTCTGTATCAGACACCAAAATTATATATAAACACACACCTACGTTCAAAAACCAACACTACACATAAATGCATGCTTGCATTCAAATGCAAACACTACATACAAACACACCGCTACAATCATACAAACATACTCCATACAAACACATGCTTACAGTCAAACACACAAATACTGCTCCATGCTAAATACAATCCTGCAAGCATGGGGAATCGGTAGAGCCCCAGCTTTCAAAGCATTGTTGAAGTTGCACGACAGATGGGGATCTATCTTTTAGCCATCCTGTGTACATACACAGACCGTCATACAGAGACATACAGTATGTATGTCTCTGTATGACTGTGTGTATGTATTCAAAAGGAATAAACGCAGGCAACACTCCAATAGTACGGATGGTATATTTATTGATAGGTGAACCACCCCAAAGAAAGTGCGTCGTTTCGGCTCAGCAGAGCCTTATTGCATGAGCTGAAACATCACACTTTCTATGGGGTGGTTCACCTACCAATAAATATACCATCCTTACTATTGGAGTGTTGCCTGCGTTTATTCCTTTTGAAGACTTTACTGGTGGATCCAGCGATGTCCGCCTGACACGGAGCATCCACCACTGTTGATGGCCGGAGCATTTACACGGTATCAGTGTGCAGGGTTCTTTGTTTGTCTGTGTATGTATGTCTCTGTATGCCTATCTCTATGTTTCTTTATGTCTGTCTGTATTTCTGTGAGTGTCTGTGTCTGTATGAATGTATGTCTGTGTTTGTATGACAATGTACCTGTATGTGTAGATTGTATGACTGTGTTTGTTTGTGTGCCTTTTATGACTGTGTGTCTGTATATCTTTATGACTGTGTGCCTGAAAAATTATGTCTGTGTGCTTGTATGGTTGTGTGTCTGTATGTTTGTGTATTTGTGCATGTATGTATGTCTATGTGGGAGAAAAAGAGAGATAGATAGGGGCTGGCGGGGAAGTAAGAAATACATAAGAGGTGTTGTAGGAGACACACTAAAGGGGGGTGTAAGGCACAAAGGGGCCAAAGGGATAAGACATGCAAGAGAGTGGATATGCAACACTAATGGGGGTAAGAAATTCAAAAGGGGGCTACGAGACACAGAGGTGAAGATGCATTGTTTATTTTTTAAGGGGGGGTGGGGGGGTGTCAAAATGCATCTTCGCCTGTGTAGTCAAAAATCCTAGCACCGGCCCTGAGCATCAGGTAACGTCCACCTAACCCATCCCTAGTGAGTGACTGGATGTCTGGAACGGATAAGAGGGCTCCCTTTTCCATCGTTCTAAGCAATCTAGTCAATTTCAGGGAGCATGGGAAGACAGCTCTGGTCATTGGCAAACATATATACAGGTGATAGTACTAAAGTTAAATCCTGCAGAAAGGCATGATAAGCACAGACAATGGGGTATATAGTTCAGCTCAGCATAGGTTAGTGGAGGGGGTATATAGTTCAGCCCAGCAGGGGTTAGTGGAGGGGGTATATAGTTCAGCCCAGCAGGTGTTAGCGGAAGGGGGTATATAGTTCAGCCCAGCAGGGGTTAGCGGGGTGGGGGGGGGTATATAGTCCAACCAACACAACCAGTGCACATGAGACAAGCTCCAGCAAAGGCTAAGAGTCAAGTGATTTTTGAAAATCAGTAAGTGAGATAGCTCCTCCTACCCAATCCAGTGCATGGGCAGTGTACACATTTGTCTTGTGAAATTTCCCTACCCCACATTGCGCACGCGCGGTCAATTGGGTCCGTGCACAGTATAGGGGTAGGGAAATTTGATGGCCATTTTCCTGTGAAATTTCCTTACCTCTATACTCCGACGGAAGTACTGTGCCGTACTGTTCTTTTCCCCTGCTCGATGTGAAAATTCCCTACCTAGTTGTTGTGCGCTTGCACGGCGGCGCACACCCCCGTCCTAATGTCACTTCCGGTGCTGCCACATCACCGGAAGTGACGAGGGTAGGGAATTTTCGATAGAACACCGGCGCCCGGGATTTCCCGCGTTCATACGCGAGTACCCAGAGGCCGGATCCGATCACACACACATGGCCGCCTCGCTGCGGCCGGTTTCCTTTTCTCAGACACACGTGTATCTGACCACCCACAGTGATCGTACATCGAGGGCTTTGCCCCCGCTCGGTTTCTGGCGCCGCACACGGCTCAGGCAGAGCCAGCCCGCCAGTTAGAGCAGGGATATCCACAGGATGGTGTACTCCTAAGTGAGGATTCCTTGTTAACACTACATGCCTGCCCCTTTGTATTTGGCAAGTAGAGGTTAATGCAATACTCGTTTTTTACTGAGTCCTGTTGGAGTTAACTAATCTAGGTTTAGTAAATGGGCTTTGTTGCACTTTTATCTTGTGTCCATATGTCCCAATCATATATATATATATATATATATATATATATATATATATAGAAATGAGAGATAGGAACAGAAGTAAAAATGTCGGGTTGCTTATAAGAAATGGGGGGTAACACCTAGTAACTATTGTAAAGAGAAAAAGAGAGAATAAACAAAGACAGAGAAACCAAAGGGTTAAGGTAAATCAGTCCCAAAGGTTCCCTGTAATTGCAGTGCAACCCAAAGGAAAATAATTTAAAAATTAACTTTTAATGGATTCCTTCTAAAAAATCAAAGCCTAATAGATAGGTAATGGTAACACACAAATATTGATTAAATACAAAACGGAGAGAGAGGAGAATAGAGCTTGCAGAGTAACTAGGTTATTCACAGAGAAAAAGAGAAAGGGGGTTGCCTAATATATCATGGAAACATCCAATAGTATCTGTGGTGAAAAAAAGGTCTTAAGTCTGTTGGACTGTGCAAACCCTAGTTTAACTAGTGCTGTCTCCTAACTCCCAGTACTCACAGGCTCGAATCACCTGCCTAAATATAATAAAGTGAAGCCTCAATCGAAGGTACAGAGAGGTTAAAGTCTAATGATAAAAATAAAGAGAAGGTGGTCTGCTCGGAGCATCCTAAATAATCTAAACTAGCTGCAGCATAGTCCCCAGTCAATCTCCAACCACCCGCTCACTAACTAATCCCGACGCGCGTTTCGCCACAGACTTTTAATGGATATATATATATTTTCCTGGTTCATCTCTACAGTCAGAGATGAATCCTCTGTAATGTGAGGTTTCACTGTCTAGGGCAGATGTAAATTCTATAACAGCCCTGGCTCCAACTCAACTGGTATGGGAGACCAGTCTACTGGCATTAATTAACTTTATTAGGCTTCTGTGGCTAGTAGAGTTGGAAGGTGGTTCCTTCCAAGCTCAATGAGGGGCATTGAGTGGGCTATTGTTTAACCCTTTTACTGAAAAATACCATGGGTACAGTACTCTTCTGGTGGTTTACTGATGGTGCATACATTGATGAGGAAACCCCATACAGATCTATAGATCCAGGCCAAACAAGTTCTTTTCAGCCTTTATCCAATACAGCTGGAATACCACTAATTTACCTGCTGTGCATTTAGGAACTGCTAGTCCCAGTTTACGTTTATTCACACAGTATTACACTGTCTAAAAGGGGTTGGTGTCTAAGGGTCCTATGTCACAGGGTACCCTGTAGATTTACAAATATTTAGGGGTCTGTATGAGAGTACAGGTTTTGGGTATATCTGCACTATATAAAACAGGCAATTGCACCCTGTTTAAGATATTCAGGCCATTGTGAACAAACTGCGCCGACAGTTTTTCCTGTGTCAAGGTGACATGAGATCCTGAGGCCTTCATAGAGCAAACGGGCACTGCCTTGCTCGGGTAACAAAACTAGGGAAGACCCAATACCCGGTCTGCAGGTACACCGTACACATGGATCGCATGGAAAGAACGGATACCCCGGTTGACATGGGTTCCCTGGTCATTATAATCTTGGGATAAGTTGACACGACTGCCCCTACTTTTCTCAACACATATCTGGAGAACATGGTTCGGATTTGGAGGGACCTCCTTCTATACTCTATATCTCACCGTAACGGTCTTGGTTTGGGTTCTAACCCACCCTTTCAACTACTATCAAAGAGACCTACGGTGGACTCTAGGGAGGAACCCTGGGTGCCAGACACCTACACGGACGTCGAAAGTCGGGACGCAGCCTACCGCTGGAGTACTGCTCAGGAGGTGTAGCAGACTCAGATAGGACTTCTGACTTTTTTTTCCGAACAGGACATCACCTGCTTCGGATGATGGAAGCTAGACCTTTGTTTTTTCTGATATATCTGCTCTATGGAGTCACCTGTCATGAGTGAAGTGACTTTGTCTTGCCTGCGTATTAGAGAACGCTATGTGTTAACGGGACTCCAAGCTCTATAGGGAAGCCTTGACTTCATTTTTTGAATTTATACTTGTGGGCCCCCTGACCTAGGGGTCTCACTATATTATACCATATCTTGTAGGTGGTGTGTAGACCAGGAACACCTACACAATCTTTGACAGGTCAGACACGGAACAGGAATTTTCTTCGTTATACAGGTCCAATCACCATTGGATCCGGACATCTTATCACCCTTAGACGATGATATTTGGATGGAAATCTAAACCCCGGTTTACGTTCCCATCCTTTTGAATATTTCCGGGATTCACAATTCCCAGAATAGCCGACCTCCATTCCACCACACCAGTTCAGTTTGGGACCTTGATTGGACGGCCTTTAGGAGTTTTTTTCTCTACCGCAGTCGCGGATTACACAATCTGTTTGGAACATTGGAACCACTTAAGATACGGCTAGTTTGAGCACACTCTTGCCTACATAATAAATTTACGCTCGGATGAGACAACTCAACGAGTAGGTCATAAGGGAAAGTAAGACCCTACTTGGTTCTATTACGGAAGAGGTGGTGGACTTAGGCGCACTCCTTGAGGTTGGAGATTTACCTGCAAGGCCACATTGTCTGATGACCCTGGCACAATCAGAGAAGCCACCTTCCGCACCAAGAGTCGAGACATGGTGGCAGTTTCTTTTTGCGGCCCTGCATCTGCAAATGACCTTCGGCAGTTTTCACCTTCAGGGAAATGGCTGATGGGTCAGTTTGGCAGCTCATGGACTGGCTGATAGGAAACAGGTCTCAACCCATGTACAATGGACATATCGGCGAAGGGTGTTTCTCCGTAGTTAGGATTCTTCGTCAGCTGGCATCTTCGACGATCCGTCTACTGGCACTTCTCATAATTGGAAAGTACATCTAGGATTGCACCAATAACTCACGGAACAGGTACCAGCGAAACAAACAACGTTGGATTTGTTGGCTGAGCGTTAAAACAGCAAATACGAAGCCTCCTGTCATGTTATAAAATTGTAGATTATGCTAGCTTTAGTGTACCTATAATCTTAATTTTATTAATGACAGGAGGCGAGTATTTCCCACCCATTCTTTTCCCTCCCTTGTTTAATTTTAATAGTTTGTGTTCATCAGGTATGAATGCAACTCTGCTTGTTGTCTCTTGTTCTTATGTTAATTTTTCATAAGTAGGGTTGGGATCTCTACATATTAGGGTATTTTGGTTGCTACATTGGGTACCTACATGTACCTCAGAGTACATTTTATTGGCTAACCAACCTGTTCAATTCTGTTTTTTCTCTTGTTTCAGTTTACAGTCCATCAGTGCTATATGGTTTGGCAGTTCTTCTCAGATGGTGGACATTGTTGTATTCATTGTATCTAGCACTTTGTTTCTTCCCATTATATTTTCTGCTTTTTATTATGTTTTGTCACAGCTTAAAAGAAGAAATGATGCATGGGGAGGGGCAGGGCCGTCTTTAATATTGATTGGACCATGGGCAGAGCATTTGTTTGGGCCCCCTGGACCCTGTACACCCTCCCCAGGCATGCAATCACACGTATCACACAGACACAAAAACTGACAGACACATTGACACACACTGACAGGCATATTGACACACACTGACACGCATATTGACACACACTGACACGCATATTGACACACACTGACACGCATATTGACACACACTGACACACACTGACAGGCATACTGGCATACTGGCACACACACTGACACACACACACACTGACAGGCATACTGGCACACACACTGACACACACACGCTGACAGGCAGACTGACACACACGCTGACAGGCAGACTGACACACACGCTGACAGGCAGACTGACACACACGCTGACAGGCAGACTGACACATACACTCACAGGCAGACTGACACATACACTCACAGGCAGACTGACACATACACTGACAGACATACTGACACATACACACAAAATTTACACTATTATACCCACCCTCCAGTTTCATACCTTGGAGGGTGGCTGAAGCTGCTGGGAGTTGGGGTCTGGCTAGCTCGGCCCAGACCCCCTCTGCTCTGCCTCTTCCTCCTCCCGTGCGGCTCCTCTCTTTATGGGAGGAAGTGACGCGCAGCCGTCACTTCCTCCCAGCCGGCTGCCAAAAAGCAAGAGGGCCCGGTCGTGCTCTTAAAGCACCAGAGCGCAAGACTGGGCCCCTGCTGACAGAAGCCCACCGGGTGGCCCTTAGTGCATGGGCCACCCAGTGGGCCTCCTTAGTGTGCAGCTGCACTGGCGAGTGGGAGAAATGCTTGAGGCAAGCGGGGCCCATGGTGTAGCTGCTTCGGGCCCCTCAGGAGTAACTGGGCCCCGCGGTAAAGACGGCCCAGGGGAGGGGAGTTTCATAGTACCCAACTTTTTTCTGGTTGGTTGTTTTTTCTGTGTTGCTGTGGAGTTCTAGTAAAGAGAGACTTAAGCAAATACTTGCCTCCTGTCATTAATACAATTAACAATAGGTACACTAAAGCTAGCATAATCTACTATTTGTACAGAGTTTCTTATATATGACTTATTGTACTGATGTTTGCTTTTTGCATTTGTCTACCTTGTTATGTGTAAATAAAAAAAATGCTTTACAAAATACACTATTTTTTAGATATACCCTCAATGAAAACATGCATTTATTTAATTATGCATTTTTTATTGGCGGTAAATAATTTGTCTGAAACCTTCTCAAACCCTTAACCCAGACTTTCTGTGACTGTCCAATTACACACTTCCCAGTGTAGCGCATTGAAAATTCTTTGCAAGGGAGGTGATTTGCCTGTCCCTTGAGTTATTTGAAGTATTTGCACTCTTGACGAGCTCGGAGTGAACATCAGGTGCAAACCTATTTCTTATTTTCTCACTTTATTTTCTACTATAGTACCTTCAGCTCATTGAAGTGGTCTAGGAGCACTATCCCATGTTCCTTAACACTGCATATGTAATTATTGCAGATTTAAAAACTGCAATAATTACCTTTCAGGGTTAACTCCACTTCTAGTGGCTATTTACCCAGAGGGACTTTTGGTCACCAAACTGACGTCCTCACGCTGTGCATGGTGATGTCCAGCATCACCAAAGCCCCATAGGAAAGCATTGTATAATGCTTTTCTATGTGGAAATCCTAATGCAAGCATGGCCATTGCTGATGTCAGCAGGCAGGGAAGGAGCAAAAGCGGACCCAAGCTAGCACCGAGGGACACCAGTGCTGGACTAAGGTAAGTGATAGATTGGTTTTTAGCCCCTTCTGCACCTGACACCATAGGGAGGGGGAGGGGGTTTGCAAGGGCAAGTTTGTTTTTCTGGCACTATAGTTTCCCTTTAAGTTTGTTTGGCATCTAGACATTGAGATGAGACTCCTACTGTATTGTGGTAGATAGAGATTAAAGGGATAATTTTACTTTGTTTTGGAAAGATCTGTTCATATAACAAGATATTTCAGTACATGGATTTTGAATTTAATATATTTTTCAGAGAAATAATATGAATACAAATAAATACTACACCACGCATAATACATTTAAAATAGGAAAACTTCAAGATAATTGGACCCTCAATTGTGGTTATCAGTAAAATAAAAAAATAAAAAAAATATTTTTTAAATTATATACAGTGAGGGAAAAAAGTATTTGATCCCCTGCTGATTCTGAACGTTTGCCCACTGTCAAAGAAATGATCAGTCTATAAGTTTAATGGTGTGTGTATTTTAACAGTGAGAGATAGAATACATTTTTTTTTTTTAAATCCAGAAAAATGCATGTCAAAAAAAGTTATAGATTGGGGGTGGAGCTTAGCCACTGAACCAACCGGTCACATGTCCTTGCAGCTCCGAGCCTCATGCCGCTGAAAACCCATTTTCTGAAACCGGTACCACCACTATCTGGACTTGGGGAACATCACCAGCAGGCACAGGAGACATGGGGCGCAAATCGAAAAAGCCCAAGCCCCATAGACCTAGCATGGGGATGAATATTGGTGAACTGTGGAGGCAGGCACAGGGCACGTGCGGACCTAAAATGGCCGCCCTCTCAGGAGGCTGTTCGGATTTTTCTGATGGGTTGTCTAGGGATGGTGAAGAAGAGGTCCTACCTGCAATCCCAGACTCCGCCCCGGTCACCACCGATGTGCTCAAAGAGCTCTTGGCGGATCTGAAAACCAACCTCCAGGCAGACATGGCCCAATCCATGGAGGCCTACAGGGTCTGACAGGCAGAATTGGAGTGCCGGAGGAAGCCTCCCACACAGGCACACAGCGCATGGACACATTGCAACAAGAGGTCCGAGACCTACAAAAGCAGACCAGAATGTATGAACACCACTTCGCAGCACAAGAAGACATCCAACGTCGGAACAATATAAAAATTAGAGGCATCTCGGATGAAGTACCAGAAGCTGAATTGCCACACTTAATGAGGAGACTTATGGTCGCTCTGTTACCACCGCGGCAGGCCAAAGCTGTAGCTCAGGACAGCCTTTTATGTATTCCCAAACCGGCTAAAGCACCGGCAGCTGTCCCAAGGGATCTGTTGGTCCACTTAAAGTCTGGGTCAGAAAAATCAGCAGTCCCTATACCAATTTGAAAACATGTTACTAGCTTTTTACCAGGACCTCTCACACAGTACACTGGCCTGGTGGAGGTCCCTCTGGCCTTTTACCTCAATCTTGCAGCAAAGAAATATACACTACCGCTGGCGCCTGTCTCGCACACTCCTGGTTATGCACGGAGACTCCACACACTTGCTCCAAGACCTTCAAGAAGCAACAGCATTACTACGTGACCTGGGTCTCCACATGCATGGAATCCAGCGGCAATCACCCCGTTCATCCTGCGGAAGCCCACGATGGACTTGTATGCAGCAGCTACGACCTGAGGACAGTTTCCAACTCAGCCTTACCTTAAACGCATATGTTTAGTCTTCTCTCGGTTTTATAATTTGTTATGTTCTCTTACCGTACAGCGCTTATTTTGTGATAACTACCTCTGATGATAAAACATGGCAGACAACACACGTTTGATACCCCCCTATTTCATAGACAAGGAAGGTGGCACAAGCTTCTCCATACACCCATAGCTGACACCATGCCTGCAAGTGTTAAGTGAGATATGCTGTTCATATCCTCATTGCATCAGCCGCATAATACACACGACTACTGTATGTACACACGCAAGTCAGCATTATCTATCTAGCCTACTAGTTTTGAATCCACTGAGCTAACATAACTATCAAACTTTTACCATAAAAGTTTCTTAATTCCCAACTGTCACACCTTGTATGGTGTATTGCATTCTCATGTCTTCTTAAACCGCTGTTGTGGTGTATTGCCGATGTGTGTTCAATCGTGCACAACAAGAATAAAGGATAATTAAAAAAAAGTTATATATTGATTTGCAATGAGTGAAATAAGTATTTGACCCCTTTGACTTAGTACTTGGTGGCAAAACTCTTGTTGGCAATCACAGAGGTCAGACTTGTAGTTGGCCACCAGGTTTGCACACATCTCAGGAGGGATTTTGTCCCACTCATCTTTGCAGATCCTCTCCAAATCATTAAGGTTGAGGCTGACATTTGGCAACTCGAACCTTCAGCTTCCTCCACAGATTAAGGTCTGGAGACTGGCTAGGCCACTCCAGGACCTTAATGTGC